CCACCTAGGTCCCTAGGCTTACCGGGCTCCTGGTGGATGCCGAAGGGAAGAGCCCTGGGGAGGGGAAGCAGAAGGATGGGAATGAAGACAGGAAGGAATGATGACATCCAGCAGTGCTGCTGAGAGACAGGCGGGCTAGGGCAGGCTGTTGGTGTCATTGGGGATGCTATTAAGGGCATTCATGAGGCAGCATGAACGTCTGGAGTCCCATCTGACCGGCATCAACAAATGCCCCTGTTCCATTCATTCTGGAAGGGGAGCTTTAATTAGGCATGAAGAGATTTATCAAACAACAGCCCCTTGGAGCTGTTGGTCTCTTTGCCATCTGGACGGATGGCTTCATACCCCGTGACAACAGCAGGGGGAATGATTTATGAGGTCCCACAGCTCCACCCCCTGGGCCTGGTAAAACCTGAATGGCTTTTGTCCTCCCCCAAAAGGAGGGAGACTTTGCCTTTGTTGATGGGCACACAAGCTGAGGTTCATGTTGAGGTCTGTCTGACTCTGTGAAGGTGATCCCAGACCCATGGCAGCCAAGACTTGGGGTCAGTTTCCAATTTATAGTGACCCAGCCACAGGGGTTAATAGAAGATCATGGAGTGGGGATAATACCGGCGTGTGAATTTTGCTAGTGAGCTATGGGGCTTCACACAGTTTTTTTTTTTTTTTGCTTCAATTTTATGACCCATCCAATAGGAATAATGATTTCTGTGTCTGCCCAACTCATGTGATTTTTTGGAGGTTCTTAGGACATTACAGATGCAAAATGACTTCATTAATTATATAGCCCTCCACAGGCATTAAGGATTTAATCCAACAAACATTTATTAAGCAACTGCTGTGTGCTTTGCACCACTCCTGGTGCTGTGATGGACACAGATGAATAAAACACAGTCCCTGCCCTTGGCGAGCTTACAGTCTAAGAACGGTCATAGGACAAGTGCACAATAACTATAATACAAGGCAGAATATGGTAAGTGCCATGAGAAAGGTATAAATAAAGTGCTACGGTGGTTCAGCGGAGGGAGAAATCCCAGTGGTTGGTAGATCAGGGAGGGCTTCGTGGAAGATGTGGTTTCTGCATGGGCCTTGAAGGGAACAGAAGAGAGGGTCCCAGGAGATGAGAACAGCAAGACCAAAGGCACAGAGACAGGAAAACCAGGCACCTCTTCCAGAAATGATGATTCTCTGTCGACCAGTGCAGGGTGTAAAGAAGGAAGGGGCCTTACTGGGTGATCTGTAATGTCAAGGTGGAGACTTGTACCTTATTTTGTGGGCCAGGAACTTTTAAAGTTTTCTGAATGGCTGGAGATAAAAATCACTATGAATGTGCAGGACAGACGGGGGTGTGCAAGCATGCCCAAAGGGGCAACGGGGAGGGGCAGGGAAGAGAACACTGCTAAAATTGTGCAAGCAAGGGAAGCAAGGGCAGCACTGGTGGGGAGGGGTGACAAGGGAACCCATAGAGAAGAGTCGAAGATGACTTTAGGGTCTCAGACTTGGGTGGTTGAGAGACTCACGGGGATTCTGTCAAGAAGAGGGGGGATCGTGGAGGAAGGGGAAGCAGAGATGATAAACTTGGCTTCGGATGTATGGAGTCTAGAGCAGGTGGGGTGGGGACACAATGGAAGGCACCAATGTTGGGAGTGTCCGTGCGGTGGGGCAAGGCGGAGGGAGGGAAATAATGGTCTGACCCACCTCGGGTCCTTTTTAGATCAAGGGAAGGGTGGAAATAAATAAATCATAAATAAATAAATACATACATACATACATAAATAAATGATGAAGAGACGTTGGGAAGGGAGGAGAAACACTGAGTACGTTGCATCCTGTGCACCGAGGGGACCGGTGTCCAGCAGGGGTCGCTGTGGAGCCCAGCGATGTGGGGAGCTTGGGGACGACAAGGGGTCTTCTGATGTGGCAACATGGAGGGCGCTGAATCGCAGGTCCCTGGAGCATGGAGGCTAGGCAGGTTGTGGGGGATGGCAGCGCAAGCATTGGAGACCCCTTCCCGGGGCTGGTGGTGCAGGGAAGGGGAGGGAAGAGGCTGCAGGAGCTGGGATGGGGAGTAGAGTATGTGCTGGTGGAGGTGAGGACAGAGGTGGCAGAAGAGTGGCTGGGGTGTGTGGGAAAATGTCACTGCCCAGAGGATGGATTTCACGTCCTCAGAAATGGGAGGAAGGAGAGGCGTGGGGTGGAAAGGGATCAGGAGATCTGGAGGGGAGATGGTGTTTCAGATGGCTCCTTCTCTTCAGCCAAGGAGCCGGCCGATGGAGGGGAGTGGTTATTTGGGGGCTTGAGGAGCTTGCAGGTCTCAGAGGCTACAGGGTGGATGATGGCAGGGCGATTGGGGACTGATTAACGGTTAACAGGAGGTGACTGGAAGGGTCTCCTGCTCCCAGGATGGCTGTGACCACCGCAGTTACAAGGCAGTGGACCAGGGTGGCAGGGACAAGGGGCAGGCTGGGGACTCCTCGGGGCCACCCAGGCTAGCTGGCCTGTGCATTTAGCTGCCCTAAACGGGCAGAGGGGACGGCCTGCCTCCTGACTGTCCGCCCAGGGGGAGGAGCAGGAGGGGGTGGGGAAGCCCAGGCCCCTGGAGCTCCTGTCATCAGGTGGTCAGTGCATTTGGGCAGCACAGGACCTGTGAGTTGGGGAATGGAGGGGTGCGGATGGTCCTGGCTTCCCAGGGGCAGGTTCTTAGGGCTCCTTCTACTTCAACAGCCACTGGTGTCCGCTTAAGGAACCAAGACCAATATGGGACAGAAGGAAAACTAGCTCTTCCACGGAGCTCTGGCCTTGAACTGCCCCGCAGGGCAGGCTTCTGGCCGGTACACGGAGCGTGGGGCCAACCCCAGGACCTGACATCCCAGCTCCCCTCAGGACTCACCACTGGAACATTCTGGAGTCCAAAGCCCTGGTTAATCCACGGAGGCCCAGGCAGTTCTACCTGCTCCCCAGGGCACTGCCAGCTTCAGACATTAAATGTCTTCCAGGGCCTTTGAGATCCTCAAGATGAAAGGCTCTGGAGAAGTGTAAAATATGATACTAATTATTTCCACTTCTTGCGAGGGAGTCCAAACCACGCAGTTCCCACAGAGGCTGTTAGGGCTGTTGCTTTCTTAAATATTCATTTTATAATGCAAATCCCAAATCTCAGACTTGAAGCATCAACAGCAAGGACAACAAGGGAAGAAACATAAGAGATGCAGGGTAGCAGTCGCAGCTGGGGCTTGGAGCTGGAGCACCGATGTGCGGGGTGAACGGTTCTGAGCATCCTCCCACCGTCTCCGTTTGGTGCCCGCCAGCCATTAATTTAGAGCAAACGTCCTGGTCTGAATTGCCACTGATTAATTATGTCCGGTCTCGTGTGCTTGGGAGCAGATCTCGGTTACTTTTCTTAACTCCCTTCACCTTCAAGATAATGGTTCTTTACTTATCTTTCAAATATGTTTTAAAACAGTGTTATTTATCAGACGAGGGAATACATCCAACAAATCAAGCCACCTAATGCTTGTCTATATGTGACCTCTGATTCCAGCCCCTAAGTGATTGGCATGGAGCCCAGATTTCCCCAGGGAGATTATGCCCAGTATTTGGATACTGCATTTGGCTTTGGGTTAAAAAAAAAAAGCCTTTGCTATTAATCTTCATAGGGGGCAAAAAGGATTTTGTGAAATTCTAAAATCATTGCCTCTGTGTGGAGGATGGGTAGGTGGGGGTGGGGGTGGACATTGGAGCCTCTCCCTGCAGACTGGAGAAGCTCGGTGTTGGAGCTCAGTGCCGGCTAGTGTGACCGTCAGGATAGGAAGATGTCGAGAAATGGCTGCAGAGGCCCCTCGAGCGCACGATGCAGAAAGGAAACAGAGGGTCACGGAGAAATGAAGCGAGGTGCTTAACACCCTTTCAGGTCTCACACTCTGGGGCTCTGTGAGGCACCCAGAAAGGCAATCATATGTATTTTAAAAAGGATGACATTTATCTTGACGGGGCCCTTTCAAGCTTTCGCTGTGGCTTCCCTGGTGGCAGAAGGGGACAGTACGGTCCCTCCTGTGACATTCTAAGAGAGCAGGAAGGGGGCTAAGCCAACGGGTAAAATCCCAGGGTCCCTTCCTCCTTGGTAGACTCTAGTTGCTTTAAAGAACACCCACCAAACCACCATGTTTTGGACACTCTTCTGCCTTATTGTGGGGTGGAGTGCTGCCCCTGAGCGGGAGATTTCAATTTTTCCAAAATGCCAGGGGAACACCCCAGCTATTTAGGGTCATCTGCCTGCTCTGTCCAGATTCTTGGTGGTTCTTGCAAAGGCCAGAGTATAGACTGTCCATGGTTACTTCTCTAGCCTTCTCTTCATACCTGTGGAAACCTGTCTAGGACAGGGGGGTCCACCGTGGATCATCACTCGGACAGTTAAACTCTAAGTTTGTGGAACAAGGCCCACGCCTCTGAAGTGGCCTCTGCTTCTTGGGGTCCTTGTACGCCTTTGCCAGGCTGAACCCCTCAACCTCCTCTCCCCTGTCAACAGCACCATTTTAGACTTGGGTCAAGTTGTCCCCTCTGGGTCTTGGCTCACCCAGAATCCAGGTTACTCAGAGGCTCAGGGTCGTTGCCAAGAGGTGGCTCTCCATTCATCCATGAGCCCAAAGATCTGTCCAACCCAGGAGGCAGTTTGTCATCCAAAGTCATGGGACTGGCTTCTTTTCATGTCGAGTCCTTCTGCCCCTAAAGATGGACTGAGTCTCAATCCAGTTTGGGTGGGTTCTCCACACCTTCTTCCTGTGGCTTATCTGCCTAATGCTAGATGAACACCACACAGTTATAAATACTCAGGTCAATATATATATGCAGGTATAGATATATATATTCTGGTCACTGTTTTACACTTTAACAAAGAAAACCACTAGCCTGCTTGTTCTACAATTTGCGCCACCCCGACTCCCATCTGCCTGTGGTGTAGCTGGCAGGAAATGTGAGCCACTGAGTCCCACGGGGAGCCCACCTTACGTGGCCCCATCGCACTGGCCAACAGTCAGTTTCAAAGCCCCCTGCTCATGCAGGCTCTTGAGGGCCTTGAACTCCAAGGGCATGGTGTGGGGGCTGGCCTGGGAGGTGTAGCCATACTTGAGGCTGTCGTAATAGTGGTACTTGACGGGGTTCTGGTTCTGATCTAGTGGAAAGGGCCAGAAGCCATAGAGGTAGATCTGGTTGCAGAAACGTGTGGCCAGGGTGTACATTAAGAGACCGGTGGTGGGTCTTTTGATGTGGACCTTGTTGGTCAGCCAGTATCTGGGGAAAAAAAAAAAAAAAGAAGTGAGAAAATATGAGTTTGTGAATCATCCTTTCCAGGAAAAGGACAATTTTAACCTGTCTAGCAGCCTGCCTCCTGCCACTCCAGGAGCTGTGGAGACCAATCCAGCCACTGATTCCCGGTTCCCTTCTCAGGGGACTGACTACCAACCTTTATTAAGCAACAGAACTATTCCTTACATCATGAACTTTCACATATATGATTTTTATAGAAACATGATGAGCTTGGTAGTAGGTACAGATGCAGAAATGAGGCTCAGAGACAAAAGTGGCTTGCCTGAGGTCACCTAGGTAGAAAGGGCAGGACCTTGACCTGGGCTCAAGCCTGTTGAAATCTAAAGTGGGGGCGGGCAAACTTTTTCTATAATGAGCCAGCTGGTAGATATTTTTGGCTTTGCAGCCATGCTCCTGGCCTCTGCTGTGGGAGCATGAGAGAGAGAGACACAGATGACACACGTGGGCGTGGCAGCTTGCTGCATGGGCCACCGCATGCAAACCCCCCGTAAAGGGGTGGCTCTTGCATGGTGCCTCCATTTTCCCCTTGTGGAGGGTCCCATGGTGCTTCCCTTTGCATATCACCATTCCTGACTCCAGCAGAGACTGACTTCCTTGTCCCTTGAGCATCATCCGATTTCCTTCCCATCCCTGCCCGCAGGACCCCCACCCCTCTGATGCGGGTTGCCCACCTCTGACATTGGGTGGCTTCCCTGAGAGCTGAGGGGACACCAGACGGTGCTCTGCCCAGTGAAGCCGGGTTCTGCCATGATCTCTTCTCAAGGCCTGTTGTGGTATTTGGTATATCCCATGGGAGTTCCCACTTCCTACCTAGGAATCTGGCAGGGGTAATGAGAGGAGCTATGGAGAATTGGGAAGAGAATGGCGTTGGGCTAATGGACCCCAGTGCTGGGTGAGGCACTGAGCTACCTCTGCACATAGAGGGTCTCAGTTTACCTTAACCAAGACAGCAGTGAGGAAGAACCCATCTCCATTCCACAGACTAGGAAACAGAGGTCTGGGGGAGCTACCAACTTTTTAGACCTCAGTTTCAAGTGAAAGTTCTGTCAACAGCTACCTGCATGCTTTTGGGCAGGTCACTTCTCCCTGCTGGACCTAATTTTTCAGATCTATACGATGATGGGCCACAGACCAGGGTATCTCCAAGTTTCAACACAATCTAGACGTTTCTCCAGAAGTGGGAAAATGTCCATTCTCTTTGTCACCATTTTGGCTTTCCACAGTGGTTCTTCTGCTTGGATTTAGAACTCACTGGGATGTGTGGTTTAACCTCTTTATTTCTCATAAAAAGCTGAATCCCTTTAAAGGCAATGCGTACGCCTTGGTGGAAAGATGGAATTCCTTACCACCAACTCCTCACTACTGTGTGTCCACACCAGACACCGGCCAAGCTTTTCTGTCCTCAAACTCTGTGCACCTCATTGCACCTGCTCCACCTGCCATTGTGAGAAACATCCACTCCCCAACCCCAGCGTGGCTCCTGATGACACCTCAGCACAGTGACAGGTGTGACTTTATAGTCAAATGAACCAATTATGTTCACGCCAGAAGCAAAAGTATGCCAGGCAAAACATTTACATATTGTTGAAAGTTGAAACTGTTCCATATTCTTCGCAGTGCTTTTAGGGAAAAGTTGGGTGGGCAGGGGGAAGATTTTCTAGAAGATCAAGCATGCCCTTCCTTTTGCAAGTGGTTCTTTCTGCAGACCCAAAAAGGAAACCCCAAGACATTCCAGAAAGTTAACTTTAAATCCTTTTTTTTTTTGGAGGAGGTGTTAGCCTTTGAAACAGACAAGGTTACAGATTCCTAGTAACCCATATAATTTTAGTAAATCACGTAATATTCGATATAATGAAACATATTTCAAGGACCCTCACACCATCCTATGAACATGATTCTCGGGGGGCACTGTGCCGACCTCCAGGAGAGCCTCTAGACAACCAGTCTTTTGTCATAAGCCTGTCAGCTGAAGACCACTTTGCTTGCATCTCCTCCTGTTTCATCCTGTCTGGGCCAAGAAACTTCCCTGTGGCTGAATTTTTCAACCCAGAATCAGATGATGAGGACAAAGGCAGGGAGCTAGACAATGGCTCCATTAACCACAAACACAATTGGGAAGTAATAGGGAAAAGCCTGGGGGTTGCGTGGTGCTGAGGTTGAGGCTCAAGAGATAAGGTGCCCTTCTTAGATCACGTGCACACTGTAGGTTCAATGGGGCTGAGCTGAGCTTGGGAAGGTGCTGAGGGGCAAAGGCAGGGAAGTGGAAGGAGGGAAGAATCCCAGGAGTGTAACAGCTGATGTTTGGATCGCCCCACACATCCTTGCAAAGTGCTCATCCACCTTGGCTTAACCACCTCCGATAATGGGGAGCTCACCCCCTCCTAAGCTAGTCCATTTTATTTTTGGTTCTGACTCAATGCTTCTTGACCTAGGCTGTACACTGAATCACCTGGAGCTTTAAGAGGACCGATCCTGAGTGCAACCTCCAGGTGCAGGTTGGACACTGGGATTTTTAAAACCTCCCCCAGTCGTTCAAATGTGTAGCCAAGGCTAAGAAGCCCTGCTTTCACTGGTGGGTGGTTCTGCTAAGAATGAGGTATATTTAGAGAAAATAAGGGAAAAGAGTAAGCCTCAGGAATAGTTGTCAAGTTTTAAAGATTATTGTTCCCTGGGGAACTTGTCTAGCCCAGTGGCCTGGCAGGGGATGTAACTGAGCGAGCTGGGAGCTGGGATGTGTGTAGGGAAAACCAATGCCTGGCCTCAGGGTTGCCAAGGCAACAGGGAGTGGTGGGGACTGTGGCATCTAAAGAGGTAGCCAGTTTTATTGTTGTCCAGTATAGTAGTGCCAAAGTGTGTATCAGAGATCTGGATTTTTATGCAATTTCTCCAAATTTTTGAATGTTGGCAACTAATTGAAAAAATTTTCAAAACATCATCTGAGGCCCTGTTGGGTGAGTCAACAGACCATATCTGTGGGAGATCCATGGGCCCCCTAGGTTGAACTTGTCCTCTTGTTTCAGGTTCCAGAGGAACACGTGGGAGTCCAGGGAGACAGGCCCGAGTAGAGGCGCTCCTCCTGCAGCTGGGTAGACAGGGCTTAGGTAAAACGCAGCCTAGCCTCCCCACTCCTGGTTCTTGGGCCTTTTCCACCCCATGGCGATTCTAGGAGGGTCGCGCCCGTCATGAGCCGGCTTTAGCGGCCGTTGACCCTTCCCGAGAGCATAGCGCTATTTGCTCCCCGAGCAAATTCAAGTCCTAACACTGGTCACAAATGCCATATTAGGGATTTGTGGTTTGTTTATTTTTTGATTGTAAGGCCTTAGCGTGAGAAGGCTTTCGGAAATGAATTTCGTTTCAGGACATCAGTGCTGTGCTCAGAGACGAGGAGGGAAGAATTTGATCTGTAGGAGGTCTGACGTTACCTGGACGCGGGCTGTGCCCTGCCTGCAGATGTGACTTTCCTCCTCATGTCCCTGTGGTGAACTGTCTTCCCCTTCCCCCCCAAAACTAAGCACATGCATTACATCTTCCTGGAAATGTTCCTTTTGTTCCACCCTCTTCTTCCTAGTTCATGCTGAGGTAATCACTTCCACCCATTATCATGAAATTTGCTTCTACTTCTGTTGTGCTTATCAATCCTGCCTGATAATTCACGATTGTACGGGTTGGCCTCCCACACAGAACAGAGCGGGCATCTCCCCGGGAGCAGGGGCCGTGCCTCACACTCCTGGAGGGGTTTCAGAGGCACCTGGCTCTGTGCACGGGGCAGCCAGGGCACTGTGGCAGGGACAGAAGCACTCAACAAACACTCTACGTGCCCGCCTACATCTCCCAGCATCCCTTGCAATGGGACTGGGGTCACGTGACCAGTTCTGGCCAATAGGCTGTGACAGGAAGTGTGTCCCTTGGGGGCCAACCTTCTCTTCTGCCTCGGGGAACCTCAAAGTCTCCGGTAAAGATGGTGTCAGCCTAAGAAGGAAGAATCCTAGATCCCTGGATCACCGGCTGGAATAGAGTGGGTGGCGACCTGCATCACACTTTGCATGAAGAAGAAATCAGCTTCTGTTGTGCTAAACCACGAGGGCCTGGGGGTTCGTGACTGTTGCACAGCCTAGAACCATTATTATCCTGGCTTCCATGGTGCTCAGCAAAGGTCTGGCTCAAATGGAATTGGAAAATAGGAAGAAGTCGAAAAGGAGTAAGAGGGAAACCAGCAGGGCAGGCAGCTTTGTACCTGTGGCCGTCGGGGACAGGGAGAGAGGTGCCCACCCTCTTGGATCCGCTGCTGGCTTTCCCCTAAGAATCAATCACTGGGAGAGGTATTAACAGCAAAGGAGGCTCCAGAATGAAGGGGGAGCTCAGTGGCACGGAGGGACCCACTTACTTCCCATTCTGCCTCTACGGGTGAACAAGAACACTCCTGAGCCGTGTCTGACAGGGACGCGGGGGCGCCGTTTAATGAGCAGCTTGTAATAGGAGCTGACTGAGTTATGCGGGAACAAATCACCCTTGATTTCCTTTCTACCCCCCTCAGTCGCTCTGGCCAATTTAGAGACTGTGTGTGTGGCCGACTTGTACACGATTTCCTTCCTCAGGATAACAGCTGGGTGTTAAAACACAAACTAATTAATTTTGCCTTCCCAAATGAGGTTAGCTGGGTGCATCCGGGAACGTTGTATTGACAATGCACCTTTAATATCCCAGTCTTGAGATTTTAATTAGAAGGCAAAGTAATCTCAAAGAAGGCAGTAATTATTTTTCGAATTGGTTACCCCAATTGCCAAGATGATTAAGCGCTGTATTTTATGAGCATGGACAGCTATAGATGAAGATTGCCAAAATCATCTCCAAAGCACATTTGTCCTTCTTTTGGATTCCTGGGCTCAGTATGTGGCAAGCACAGTGGCTGCCACTGTTGGAAAAAGGGACCAAAAGGGCTTTCTCTAAGACGCTAAAAGCCCTTT